ACAACTGCCCCTAGTGATGGTCCTGATCCCAAGAGACTAAAATACATGGAGGAAGTTTACAGTAACATTCGCATCTTCTCTTCTACCCCACTATCTTCAGAAACTTTTTGCAGAACAAGCAGTCTGCCTTAATTTTTTCAGTATGAATTAAGCACTCCTCATAAGCCAGTAAAACTTTGTTTTTCTTTTGTGGTACCCAAAGCCTTCATGCTAAACTACATTCTCAACCTTATTTGTTATTTTTCCTTTGGGAAGGGTGTACTAAATTGTTAAAGGGCTCAAATTTGCCATCCTTTTCGCTCAGCCTCCCAGAGTGCTGGGATCACAGGCTCATGCCACAATGCCTGGCTCATCCTTTCTTCTCTTTTCTTTCCTTTTACCTCTACAGTGGGATTGGATTTACAGAAATATTTATGTAATATAATCCCTTCATAATTTTCCACCAGGAAAGCTGGTAATTTCTATAATGGAAAGATGATCTTAGTTTGCTAACTAGCATAACCCATGTCTAAAGTTTTCCCAAAAATTCTAATTTCAAAACTTCATGCACCACTGAAGCTGGTCCTCTGGGGGCCTTTCTGTGAATGACATATTTGACACCACCTTAAGGGATGCCTGGTAAAGTCCACCAGAGTCTTGGGAAAGAGAAGTAAATACTCCACTTTGGCTCATAATGAGTTGTTCCTATGTAGGGATGGTAAAAATCCAAAATTGGATTCCCGATTTGGCCAATTGGAAGATGTTTACTTTTCCAGCACACCATCTTTCAAATGCCAGCCTACAGGCAAGTCACTGTTTGCCCAAGATAAAGTCTCACCAGCATGAGATGAAATGGGGGGGATTTAATATGTGTCTCAACTTTTTCCACCTAAAGGACTCCACTTCAGTTGGAATGTTTCTTTCCTATTTCTTTGATTCTTCAAATGTTCTTCCACTAAAGGAAGATGCTATAGATGGTAGGTTTTCTCTTAAACATTTTAACTTAGCAAAATTAAAATTCAACTCACACTTTATTATTTTTTCTTTGCTGACTTCCTCGTTCTTTTTCAAATAGCTAAATCTGCCAACTAGCTGAGTTATAGACACATAAGCGAGACTGCATTTAGATTTTACCCCTGCATTTGTTCATTTGTTCATTCATTTATTCATAGAGCAAAAGAAAAAAACTACTCAAACTCCTACATTTCATGGAGCACTTTGTACTAAACATTGTGAAGAAGGGTCTAAAAGAACAGAAAATATCTTCTCTGTTCTGAAGAGCTGGCAATCTGTTTGACGAGATCTAGCCAACAGGCCAGTGAGCTGGCACTCTGCAGCCTAAGGGATCATCGTCAGGTCTCAGAGAGGGGATCAACTGCAGAGAACTCCTTTGACTCAATTGCAAGGTCACAAGCCCACTGACATAGGACAGAAATTCCTCCCAATGTGCTCACTATACAGATCTTTCCATGAGGATTGTTCGCTGTCTCTAAACACCCCTGCACACCTGTGCCTCCAAACTGGATCCTGTCCCAGAGCAGAACAGATACACACTTTTAAGACAGAAGAGTAGTCACATAGCTCATGGCAAAAAGGAGAATTAAGATTTGAGGAGCCCCAACTTCCATTCCACCTTCCAGTCACTGTCTTTTCCTGCCTGTGCTGTGCCTGCTCACATTGCTGGACCTCTCACCGAGTCTTTTGGCTTATGTTCCCTTAAAACAGAGAAGAGCCAGGAGAGAGAAAAGTCACAGTGGCTGCCCATGAAGCTCTGAGCCTCGTAGGGTCCATCACTGCCCTTTGCATGGTTGTTCAAGCACAGAGATGTTTTTATTTTGTCTTTTGAGAGAAGAGACTAAGGAAGGAGTTGGACCATAAAGGTATCTAAAAGAATAGCGTACATTTCCAGGATCTGTTAATGGAAATTGTTTTCCCTGCTTGAAAACTGCCACATTTAAACTCACAATGTGGGGTAAGTGAGATCATAAATATGAACTCCTTCTCAGGCAGCAAACCCACATTTGGAGCCTTACTCGTTTGCCTTTGGGGATCCATATGCCACAGTCTAGTTAGCTGCCCAGCGATTGACAAACATAAATAAAAGGTAATGGTTGGAGGAAACAGAGTTCCTGTGAGCCAAAAGTGTTTCCCAGGGAGGGATCGACATGCATCTGACCACACTAGCATCACCTAATAGCCAAAGTTTAGTGCTTTTTAAAACAAACAAATAACAAAAGCAATGGAAATGAAAGTGTCTGCAGTCAGCGTCAGGCTGACGTGGGAATCTGAAAGTCCATAAAAAGAATGAGGGCAAAAGGCCATGGGGATGTGGTGGGGTTTGAAGGCCCGTTTGCCTTCACATCTGTGCCCCTTGCTGCCTCTGTGAAAAAGTGCTCTGAATCTGTCCCCTTCATCCCATTACTGCTTTATGGTAGCATGCAAACCTACCTCAGTTAAGTTAAATAAAAATCTACCCTAAATTTAAGGCAGCACCATGGACAGAGCAACCCTTAAGAGAAAG